ACCTTGTCTCTAATAAAGTAGAATAGAGAGAGAGAGAGAGAGAGAATTGGAGATTTGAACCCACAGCCTTAAGCACACTAAACAAGTACTCTACCAAGCTTCAATCAAGCTCCTGACAGTATGTTTAAAATAAATTCCTTATTGACTAATAACTATCTTTTTACATTTTAAAAACTTTTTTGTATTTGTTAAACTCATTTAAATTTCTTTCTTATTTTAATTTTTTAATTTTTTAAATTTTATTTTATCGGTACATTTTAGGTATACAAAATAGTGACCTTCATCACTGGAAATTTGCACCTTTACGTAATCTCTCTTGGTTCTTATTTTTCCCCCTTCCCCTGGCCTCCCTTCAACCCCTCCATCCCTCCCTATTTACAAAGACTTTGTTTCCATTTTTCCATTTTCTCATATTAATTTCTTTTGAGAAATATCTACATGGGCTGGCCGTGTGTCTCCGTGGTAGAACGCCTGCCCAGCATGACAAGGCCCTGGCTCCATCCCCAGCACCACGCTCCCACACACAGAGAGAGGAGGAGGAGGAGGAGGAGGGCAAGGGGGGGAGGAGGATGAAGAATGAGGAAGAGGTGAACAGAGAAGAAAGAAATGAAGGAAAAGATTTTGTAAATAACTAAACTGGGCATGGTGTCCCACATCTGTAATTCAGGAGGCTGAGGCAGGAGGATCATCACCAGTCCGAGGCCAGCCTGGGCTACATAGTGAGTTCAAGGCCTGCATGGACTACACAACCAGGCCCTGTTTCCAAAAAACAAAACAAAATATGAAGAATCTGTAAGCAACTAAAGTCTCAGTTACTCAAAAAGGGCTTATCATGAGAAAACATTCCCCTGCCTCACAACTGACAAAGCTCTTTCAACTAATTTTAACACTATTGTTTAGAATTATCTCCATAATCCTAAAAAGTGGAAAGCTTCTCATGATATTTATGACTTATTTTTTTTAATTATTAAGATAGTGTCTCACTATGTAGTCCAAGCTGGCCTGAAACTCATGGTGATCCTGCTGCCTCAGCCTCCCAAGTGCTGGGATTATAGGCGTGTGCCACCACATCTGGCCATGATATTTCTTTGGGGGTTTTTTGATTTTTTTTTTTTTTTTTTTTTTTTTTGGTACCGGGGACCAAACTTAGGTCCTTGCGCTTGCGCAGCAGGCAGCGAAACCGCTGAGCTAAATCCTCGGCCCTCCATGATATTTCTTAATCGTTCCATTTTAGACTTCCTGCTCTAGCTCTCCAAAATGGAAAGCTGGGGGCGGGGAGGGGGGTGCCTGCGCTGTGGAGTGAAGTGAACCGTTATGGACAGAAGGGCGACTTCACTCGAGCTCTGAAGACCGTCCACAAGATACTACCGATCAACAAGGACGCTGTAACTGCCCTGCCTTATTCAGAACGGAAGTTTCAAGGAAGCCTTGAATGTCATCAACACACCTGCCAGAGTTTTGGCCAATAACCCTCTCTCCTTTGAGAAGGCATATTGCGAGTACAGGCTCAACAGAATTGAAAATGCTGTGAAGACCATAGACAGTGCCAAGCAGCAGGCATTCGAGCCGAAAGAGCTGGATGGACAAGTGCTGCACCGCTGGGAACGCGATGGTGAATGCTTAGCTGTGTATAGAGCTCTCGTACGAAATGCCCAAGACGATTATGATGAGGAGAGGAAAACAAACCTTTCAGCAGTTGTTGCAGCTCAAAGCAATTGGGAAAAAGTGGTTCCAGAGAACATGGGCCTCCAAGAAGGCACCCACGAACTGGGCTACAATGCCACCTGTGCCCTGATTGGACAAGGCCAGCTGAACCAGGCAATGAAAATGCTACTGAGGGGCCAGGGATTTAGCTCAGTCGTTCCACCGCCTGCTTTGCAAGCCCAAGGTCCTGAGTTTGATCCCCAGTACCAATAAATAAATAAACAAACAAACAAACAAAAGAAAACACTACAGAAAGCTGAAGATCTTTGCCGCCAGTCACTTTCGGAAGACTCTGATGGGATGGAGGAGACCCGCAGGCAGACCCGGGCATCATTCACAGTCAGACGGCCTGCATCCTGCAGCATCAGGGTTGCATGGAGGAGGCTTTGCAGCTTTACCATCAGATAATAAAACTGAAGCCAACAGATGTGGGATTACCAGCTGTAAGTACAAATAACATCTTTATCATTAATAAGGGCAAAATGTCTTTGACTCCAAGAAGAAGGTGAAATTAACTGATGCAGAAGGAGTAGTTTATTTTTCCAAGAAGTAACTGCAAGCTGTAGAATTTAACAAAGGTTTACTTGCTATGTACACAAACCAGGCAGAGCGATGCCAAAAAATATCTGCTGGTTTACAGTTCCAAAGTCCTGAGGGTCTCCTGCCTGTGTTCATCCAAGCTGCCCAGCTCTTCCAGGAAAAACTGCCCATAAAAGCAATAGAGCTGCTTCAGGGATTTTCAGATCGGCATCCAGAAAATGTAGCTGACATTAAGCTGACCGTGGCACAGTTGAAAATTTCTCACAGTGATATTTCCAAAGCATGTCTAATTCTGAGAAGCATAGGAGCGTTAAAGCATGAACCAGGCATGGGATCTGCATTAGTGACCACATACAGCCATGAGGAAGACACTGATAGTGCTGCTGAGGTCTTCACGCAGGCCATCCAGCGGGACCAAAACATCAGCCCAAATCTCCTGCTCATTTGTCCTTGATTGGAGAAGCAGCAGACTTCAGACTCAAGTATGGGCAGAAGAAGGAGGCAATTAGTGACCTAGCACAGCTAGGAAAACAAAATCCAAAAGCTATTCACACTCTGGCACAGCTTATTTCTGCTTACTCACTTGTAGATCCAGAGAAAGCAAAAGCTCTTAGTGAACAGTTGCCCTCATCAGATAGTTTGTCCCTAAAAGTAGATGTCCAGGCTCTTGAAAATTCTCCTGATGCTGCGTACATTCAGAAGAAGGGTGGAAAAGTCACCAGAGAGTCAACCAAAGGAGCAAGGTCAGGGAGATTTGAAAAAGAAGGGAAAATTGCCTAAGAATTATGGCCTAGGGCTGGGGATTTAGCTCAGTGGTTCCGGTACCTGCCTCGCAAGCGCAAGGACCAGAGTTCGATCCCCAGTACCAAAAAAAAAAAAATTATGGCCCAAAAGTTACCCAGATCCAGGAAGACAGCTGCCAATGCAAGAAGGGTAAAAAGAAGGCTCAGATTGGAAAGGGGACTCAGGGCACAACTGCGAGAGCTTGGTCCGAACCCGATGCCAGTAAAGCTGTGTGCAGCCTCCCACTGGCCAAGACCCAGCAGAGCAGCAACTGTATCTGCCTCTGCAGGTAACATCTATCCCGAGACACCAGACACCTGCAGGGGCTCCAGCCGCAAAAAAGAAACTGCAACAAAAAAAGGAAGGAAAGGAGGCTGGTGATTAGAGTGCTCTCATTCCAGGCTATTTTTAAGTTAGTCTCAGCCGTGCTAGGAACATAAAAAGGTAACACAGGGAGAAGCATAAAAAAAAAGACTTCCTGCTCTAGCAGATGGTTATACAACTATTTGGGGTTAAATTAATAAGGTTTATATTATTATAATTATGTAAATGTTGTCTACTACTAAGTCAAATATTGTACAACAAGCATGATTTCTTTTGTATGCATTTCTTTTCTGAAATCTAGTTGCTATTCTCTCTCCACTAACCTTGCTTGGTCTTTTTTCTTGGACCATGGGTACACCGAATTGAGTTAATGGTGATGTTTGGTTTATACAAAGACCTCATACATATATCTTCTTCTTTGTCCATGAACAAGATATAATTACACTTCTCCAATTATTTGCTCTTTCCTCCCCAATTCTTCATTACATTGAATATTCTATCAAATTCTCCTTTACCCTCAAGGCTGCATCTTTCTCCAGTGGAAATTGATTTGTTTCTTACCTAACCAAGTACTTTTCTTTTCTTTCTTTTTTTTCTCTTTTTTTTTTGAGCTTTTGAGACAAGGTCTCACTATGTAGCCCAGCCAGACCTCAAACTTCCTATCCTCCCATCTCAGTCTCCTCAGAGCCAATAAATTACTTTTTTTTTTTTTGGTACCGCGAGTCAAACTCCGGACTTTGCACTTTCGAGGCAGGGGGTGGCACCACTGAGCTAAATACCCAGCCCCCAATCAAATACATTTCAAATGAATAGGTCCTCTCTGATGGAATAAACAAAGGAACAGTTTTGATAAGTTTATTTTATTTTTTATTTATTTTTTTGTACCAGGGATCGAACTCAGGAGATAAGTTTATAAACTTACTTTTAACCTCAAAAATAATTGATCCAGGGCTGGGGATTTAGCTCAGTGGTTCCAACACCTGCCTCACAAGCACAAGGTCCCAAATTCAATCCCCGGTACCAAAAAAAAAAAAAAAAATTGATCCATTCTTTCTAATATTGGCTAAAATGAATACAAGAAAACCTTAGGAGTAACAAAATGTTTTGCAAAGTCCATGTTATCAAGAGATCACCTGGAGCGTGTTTGGAATGACTTCTCGCTCAGTTCAGGAAACAGGTTTAGGCCTGGTGTGGCGTACACACCTGTAATCCTAGCACTCAGGGAGGCTGAGGCAGGAGGGTCATGAGACAGAGCCCACCTTGGGCAACGTAGTGACTTAGTGAGTCCTTGTCTCAAAATAAAAAATTTAAAAATGTTTGAGGATGCAGCTCAGCAGAAAGGCCCTGGGTTCAAACCCCAGGAAGTACTGCATTTTTAAAAAAAGGAAACAGGACTAGCAAGGATTGCAAATTATTGCCGAGAAGAGGGAGAGGCTTTTTATTTAATTATCCAACAGTCTTACTTGTTAGCTGCTTCTTTTATAAGCGAGAAAATTGCAAAGGAAAACCATCTGCCCAAGATAGCAGAGGTAGTTAGTTGTCATTAAAAGCCAAGACTTGTCTGACCCCCAAGCTCCGGTTCCCGGGCAGCCGGCTGTCTCGTCTGTCTGTCAGCACCAACCTCACCGCCTCTCTGTTTTCTCTCCTAGTGGACGAGTGCTCCTCGGACTACACAGTTGTGCTTCCGGTGATCGGGGCCATCGTGGTTGGCCTCTGCTTTTTGGGTCTGTGCCTCAACGCGACCCGTCTAAGGCGTCAGCCAGGCGGGTACCAGAGGATCTGAGAGCAGCCCGCCGGAGATGAGTCACAGAGCTCGGAAGATTCTTTCATGGCGCGTCCAAGATGCGGGGCGTCCCCCAGAGGGTGCATCCCGGACCACGTAAACCACTGCGGTCTGCTAAAACCAAGTGAACCGTATTTGTGATTTAAATTCAAGTAGCACGTCAATTTTTACATTTTTTTTGTTCATCCGTGAAAGGTTGTGAGGTTTAAGAGTATTTTCCAGTTTTCTTCAGAATATTTTAACCACTCACAGGCAACATTTGCTAGAGGCGCGTGGGGGAGCACTCTGGTAATCCCTGGTAATCCCAGCATTCGGGAGGCTGAGGCAGGAGGATCATTGAGAGTTCAAGGCCAGCCTGAACTACAAAGCTAAACCTTGTCTCAAAAAACAAACAAAAAATGCCTTTGCTTTATCAAATGGACTTTCAATGCTTTTACCACCTGTGTTTATTCCATGTACATATGTCTAGGATAGTACCCACCTCCTTTTCTTCTTTAATTTTTTTTTTTAATCATCAAAAAGAAGGAGCTAGGCATGATGATGCATGTCTGTAATCCCAGCCCTTGGGAAGCTGCGCTAGGAGGATTGAAAGTTCAAGGCCAGCCCAGACTAAAGAGTAAGAACCTAGGCTGGGGATTTAGCTCAGTGGTTCCACCGCCTGCCTGGCAAGCACAAGGTCCTGAATTCGATCCCCGGTACCAAAAAAATAAATAAATAGAGTAAGAACCTGTCTCAGAACAAACCAACACACACAGTTTTGGGGTTTTGTATTTGTGGTGCTGGGGATTGAACCCAGGCCTTCATGGATGTTAGGCAAGCACTTTACCAATGACCTACACCCCCAGCCTTTTCTTTTTATTCCAAGACAGGATTGAAACTAAGTTGCCCAGGCTAGCCTCAGACTTCCTTCAGCCTCCCAAGTACAGAGACTACAGCTGTGCAGCGTCCTACCTGGCTTGTCTGGGTTTCTGTGGGAAGCCAACAAGAGGAACAAATCAGCTAATATTTTTTATGTTGATGATTCTTGCTCTAGAAGCACCAAGAACTAAGAATTAGCTGTTTACAGACAAGAACGGAATTTAATAAGCATGCAACAATAATCACAGGGTTTAATTACTGAATATGTACGACAGACTCTAGGCTAAGCCATTTACATCCGTCTCATTTAACCTTCACAAGGTACAGAAGAGTAAGCTCAAGGGAATCACCTAAGTATCACCCACCTAACAGGTGGCAGAGCCGGGATTAGAACGCATGTCGGCCTGGTCCCAAGGCCTTGGACTTCTTCTCACACCAAGGTGCCCACAAGAACAATAACCGCAAGTTCTGCCTAGAGTCTCCCACCAGCTGATGAAGCAGCCCGCTCCTTTGACGGTAACTGAGGGGCTTTACAAAATATTAGTTGCTCACTAATATCTTAAAGAGGAAGGAAAGGAATTGACTTCTCAAGGTATGTTTTATTCAAAAACAGAGACGTCTTCTCCCCACTGACCAACTTTCCTTTCTTGGATGTAGATCGCCCTCTTGTGGTCGCTTGCTGCTTCTGCCCGTTAGAGAGGAGGCTCTGAATTGCGTTCCTGCTGGGTTTGGCCTGGATTAGAAAGGAGCTAAAGCAGAATACCAGCAGCAAAGACCAGATCTTAATTTCCCTGAGTTGTTCACTTATAAGTCACTAGGGTCGGGAGGGTCCCGACTTTAGTCCTAATAGAAGACAGAATTGTATTAAAATGTTTCATAATAAAAACTTATTTTGGAGATTCATTCATGTCATTTTTTTTAATTTCCTTTTTGTGCTGCATGAAATTTTCTTTACAATCTTCTTTGTGGCAGGTTGCAGGTTGATGCTTGAGTTAACAAATTAAATCATCTTTCACTAGCTAATTTCTTCAAGTCAATGCTCCATTGCCATATTATTTCCAGGTAGGAGGACCCTATGGGGAGAAATTGAATTCCTGAGAAGATAAACCACATCAAAAGTACAGGTTAAATCTCTCTTTCTTCTTCTTGAGACCGGTCTCGCTATGTAGCCCAGGCTGGCCTTGAACTCAGAGCAATCCTCGCGCCTCAGCCTCCCACGTGCTGGGATCCCAAATGCAGACACACCAACCACATCTCTGTCTTACTGCAGTGTTGTCATAGTTGCCCCTGTGGTCGGCCACACTGATGAAGGGTTACTCAGAGCGAGGCCTCACCTGAAAACTGCTGCATCACGGATCCAGGCTTCCATATCTGAGCACGTTTGGGTGGGTCTGAGGGGCCTGTGACATGGAGACCAAACCACTAACAAAGAGATCACCTATATCCCTGATCGCTGAGTGAGGATGTAAGCCCCAGAAAGCAAGCCCAGGTGCCTCACAAACCCAAACAGAAGAGAGCCTCCAAAATGCTGCATCATTTCCAGCCAAGGCAAGCATTTGTCCTTGGCCTGGCCAGCACTGTGCAGGTGCAACCCCAGCAGTGACCCTGAGACAGGGAGAGGCCAGACTGACCTTAGGCAGGGAAGCAGGTTTGCCAATGACAGTGACACACAGAGCCCCAGAACACCTGGCTTCCCACTCCCATGTAATCTGAATTGCTAGAAGCTTGGGCAAGTGTCTTAGTTACTTTTCTTGTTGCTGAGATAAAATACCATACCAGATACCCAAAGTTAAAGGAGGAGAGGCTTACTTTGGCTTGAATTTTGTAGAGGTTTCAATTCATAGTTGGCTGGCTCCAAGGCAGGGTGGCATGGCAGAGGGGCAGCAGGGAGGAGAAACAGTCCATGGCAGGGCAGGCAGGAGACGGGAAGCAGCAAGCAGCAGCAGCAGAAGCCACTTCTCCCTTTTATCCCTTCCAGGTTTTTGGTGGTGCCACTCACACCTGGGGCAGGCCTTCCCTTTGTCCATGCTCAGAACTAAACCAGAACAATCAGTGGACTGATTTAGTAATCACACACCCTAGATCCAGCCACCTCCGTAAAGCCCCAGTGACCACACCTTTCTCCAAACACAGGGTCAAACTGAGCCCCAGGAGGCAGCCTATACCTCCCCACCTCCAACCCAAGTGTCAGTCACCAAGGTTCAGAGGCTCAGTGTTTCCCTTATCTGATGACAGCAGGTGAGGGACCCAGGTAGTGAGGACCGAGTAGATTGTTAAAAACAGTAACAGTGTTGGGTGAGGAGGCTGGCCACTGATTTAAATGTATGAATAATGTCCCATAAGAAAAGCTAAAAGAACCCAGGCATGGTGGCTCACACCTGTGATCCCAGCACTCAGGAGGCTGAGGCAGGAGGATTGTTGTGACTTTGAGGCCAACCCAGGCTACATAGTGAGTTCAAGGCCAGCCTGAACTGCTTAATGAGAACCTGTCTCCAAAAAACCAAAGAATAAACCTCAGAGCAGGAAGCCTGCGGACCAACACCCTCCTTCTCCAGCGTCACCATGGGGGCTGTGCTGGGCATCTTCTCCCTCGCCAGCTGGATTCCATGCTTCTGTGGCAGTGCATCATGTTTGCTGTGTAGTTGCTGTCCAAACAGTAAGAATTCCACTGTGACTCGAATCATCTATGCTGCAATTCTCCTCCTGGGCATGGCTGTGTCCTATATCATGCGGATAAAAAGTATAGAAACTGAGCTGAAGAAAATTCCTGGATTCTGTGAAGGAGGATTTAAAATCGAGGTGGCTGATTTAAAGGTGGATAAAGATTGTGATGTGCTGGTTGGTTATAAAGCCATATATCGGATAAACTTTGCATTGGCCATCTTTTTCTTTGCTTTCTTTTTACTCATGTTAAAAGTAAAAACAAGATCCCAGAGCATCAATACACAATGGGTTTTGGTTCTTCAAAATTGCTGCCCTTATTGGTATCATGGTTGGATCTTTCTACATTCCTGAGGGCTATTTCACTTCAGTCTGGTTTGTTGTTGGCCTGATAGGGGCTGCTTTCTTCATCCTTATCCTGCTGGTGTAAGACTGCTGTCTTTACCAAAAGCTCTGAGAAGCTGACTATAGTGAAGCATACCCAGGGATCCCAGCGGTGCCTCCAGAATGTAAGACCAAAGGCCTTACCAAATGTTCCAAGGAGCTGGAGTGGAGCACACCCGGGGATCCCAGTGGTGCCTCCAGAATGTAAGACCAAAGGCCTTACCAAATGCTCCAAGGAGCTGACTGCAGTGAAGAACACCCAGGAAGGAACACACCGGACAAGTAGGAAAGTGAAACAGACCTTAGTCTGGCCAGACAGCACTCCCAAAGCAAAGTAGCTTAGAGAGGTGCCAGTCCAGAGTCCGAGGCTCTTTTTATAGGGGCTTGCAGGGGAGTTAACAGGCGAAATTTACAGAAGAAGGAACAAAGGTTTAGTGGTCTTACATTTGTATGTTAATTAGCCTGACTTGTACTGTTAGTCAGCAGATGCTTTGTACATTGGTCTATAGATAGTGGTATCCGGAACAAAGGGTTGGATAATTATTACTGATAGGGATCTTATCTAGTGTCCTGGAACTAAGAAGCATCTTTATCTATTTACTCACATTCAATCATAGGTAGGGCTAGGGGAGTTTTATGATTACAGAGTTATGCAGTCTTACATTCCCCACTGATTTTACAATTTAAGTAATCTTACTTATAGATGTAGGCATCCATTGTATACAACAGCATGACAATATTTAGCATATACACACAACTGTAATGACCAGAAAAAGTTGTTTTAACCATTGTAGGTTGGGCAACCATTTAGTTAGCCATTGGCTCAAGTCCCAGCCATCTTCATTATGTACCCTTTGAGCCAAGTCTTCCAATTGTTTTATATGCAGGACATCCCTTCCAACCATTTTATTCTCAGACATTTAGTTGTACAATTTTCATACATAGCACATTGGGTATTATTTGACAACATTTTTAGGTTTACGACATGGGGCACGTTCCCAATACATGATGGAAATTTACATCAACATTTAGATAGAATTCAGACAAATTAAGCAAGTTTGCCAATTGAATCCATACATTCTTTTTTTTTTTTTTTTTGATCTAGTCCTCTTGGGGGCAATAATGCCAGTGTCCCAAATTATATTATCATGAAGGCGAAACATCTCCAACCCGCTCCAGTCTTAGCTTTTGGTCGCCTGGTTGGCTGATAACCTTCCATTTGTCCTTTTTGACATCTGCGGGGAGTCCTACTTTCAGATGGTTTCAATGTATCTAGGCAGAATGTCCAGCCACCTTCAACGCCAAGGGAGTTGACAGGACAACAGGAACCAGTCCCTTCTAATGAGGTTCCAGGGTCTTGGAATCAAACCTGTGAATTAAAACCAAATCTCCCAGCCTGTAGGGTAAAGGTTGTAGGGGTTTTTCATTTGGACTAGTCATTTTCTCTCGTAATGTCTCATGTAGCTCAGACTGAAGCTGATGAACTGCTTTTAAGGATTTAAGGAGTCGAAGGT